GCTGCCTTTTGATGTGCATATTCCAGCCTTTCTCTGAGGTTGTTGATGTAATCTGTTACTTTGGCCTGTTTCCTTAATCCAGTGTTATATCGACAGGTAATCTTGGATCTCTGCCGAACATCAGCATGTAAGGGGAATATCCTGTCGAATCATGCTTTGTACTGTTATAATGATACACAAAAGGGGCTGTATACTTTTTCCAGTTTTTCTTTTGTTCAGTTTCCAGGGCTCCTAGCATGCCTAATAAGGTGCGGTTGAATCGCTCGCACATCCCATTACCTTGTGGGTGATATGCTTTAGTGCGGGATTTCTTGGTTCCTGTTTGTTCGCAAAGTTCCTTAATTATTTTGGACTCGAAGTTAGCTCCCTGGTCTTAGTGAATTCTTTCTGACAGTCCGTATTGTACAATAAAATTGTTGTAAAGCGCTTCAGCCGTTGTTCTTGCTGTTTGATTTTATGGTAGGACATTTTTTTTTTCAAAATTTACAAGCAGATGCTGCTAAGGTTATCCTGGACATTTTAAAAACTCCCCAAAAAAACGGGACGTCATATTTGAGCTGGGGGAATGTGTTATAGCCAGTATTTTATTGTAAATATGTGTATGTAGATATTTAAGTGTAATATCAATTAATATAATTCATTTAAGGTTTGAAGTAGTGATCATAAATAAAATTACTACAGAATGATTTGTGTTTTTGTTATTAATAAGTACTTCGGCTATTCTGTTGAATCCTATGTTCAATATGACAAAGCCTCTGGTCATTTGCTGAAGGAATGTACAACCAGATGTATGTATTTATGGCGTTCTGTTGATTTGGTGAGAGGACCCAGGATGTCTATTTGGATTCGTGAAAAACTGTCTTCACATTGGCGTGAGTGGTGCAAGAGCACGATGCGTTTGTCTTGTTGATAATTAAAAAAACCCAATGGAAAACAGTTTCATAATATATACTTGCTAATTTGTAGGCTTCCATTCTCATTGGGAGGTATTTTACTGACTATAGACGATAAGAGCCAACTAACAACTAATCTGTATGACAAACGAGATGACTTAGATTTCCATCTTCAACTTTCCCTATTTATTTAGTCACCGTTCACGGTAGCTCAGTCGGTAGAGCGCTCGCTTCGTATTAGGGAGGTCGTGAGTTCGAATCTCGGCCGCGACTGACCTAAGTCGATTAAAAAAAATGGGTAGCAACTGTTCCTTCGCCATGCGCTCGGCACTTTGAAGTGAAAGTTGCGGGTCCTTCGGATGAGACCTTAAAAACCGAGGCCCCGTGTCACGGCAGGCGTTGGCACGATAAAGATCCTTCACTGCTCAATGGCCCTGAGTACCGAGTAAAGGTCAAAATTTGAAGTCCTTCACCGGGATATGGTGACGTCTCTATATGAATGAAAAATTCTCGAATGGGACGTAAAACAACATTACAATCAATCAATATTTATTTAGTTATAATCCGCTATCACCTGCATTATTGTTATGTCTGCCAACTTATTCGATACTCTAGAGCATGCTCTGAGGCTACTGATAGATGAGTTGATTTAAAGGGATTTCAACAGTCAACTTTTCGTAAATTCCGTGGTTGTCATAATGAGATTTGAGAGTGTTTTTACTTACCTTGATAGGAAATAAAACCTTTAAAAATATGAAATATATATGAATTGAAAATTTGTTTAGTATACATTTATTCTGTGTTAAATCGTGTAACCTCTTACCAACGTAACCTCTCACAAATTGCCAGCTAGTGAAAGGCTGCATATTCAGACCGGCCACTGCACTCATGGTCTTTGATCATTGAAGGATCTTTTTCGTACCAGCACTATGATCTACTGGCAGGGGACCTTGGTTTATACAGTCGTATCCTCTGCACTAAATGCTGTCATTTAATATAAGTCCTTAAACACTTGAAAAGTATTCCTTTCAACAAATTTTCCAAAGCATCTAAAGTCTGGACCCTCTTTGTGACCTACTTCAGAATATGAAGGGCCATTGATGGATCGAACGAGAAGAGACGCTGCTGTGGCAGAAACCGCCCCCTTATTGGCCCTTAATAATAAGCTTTAGACAATAAAAATTGCTTATCGAGGCTTACTCATGAATCTAACAATTTGTAAGACTGGAGATTTTCTGAATATTATTTTTTAAAAGTCCTTAACATTTCTCTGTAAAACATTTTTTGCACCACCCCAGGGGCTGTAGTTTGGACAAACATGAATTTAGTTTTCAAGAGGATGCCTGCATAAAAGTTTGGCATTTGGTAGCTCTAGTTCTCGGGAAAATTCACTTTGGATTCCGACTGTAGATTCAAATTATCCGTGAAAGAGTTGGAAAAGACCAGGATGTCATCCACATACACAAAGCATGTTCTCCAATTAATTGCACGTAGAACATGGGTCATCAGTGCTTGGAAGCTGGCAGGTTGCAAATGGCATTCTTTTCCATTGATACATACCTGTAGGAGCAACAAATGCCGATATATGTTTGTCTCATTATACATGGGTATTTGCCAAAATCCTGAAGCAAGGTCAAAAGTTAAGAAGAATTTGGCATGCGGGGTACCAATGGTGTCAAACACATCCTCTAGCTTAGGCAGGGGGAAGGTAAACTGCTTTGTGACTGCATTGAGTTTGACCATTATAACAGGGCTCTGTCACATGGTGTCAGATTCTTCAATTATATATGAGTCTTACATTCCCTGTTATTCACTGGTTTTTCATTTTAATCTGCATTTGTTTGGGCCGATTTTCTATAAACCCGCTGACGAACTGGTAATGCATCACCTGTTTCTATGCAATGTGGTTGAGCGATGGTTTCTTGAAATTAACAACTAACAGAATGATCAAATTCAATCTCTATGCTGTTTTTTTGCCCTTAGACTTCAAAAATTTTTAATATTTCACTGTTTTCTGGACCTTGTTTTATTATAATTTTTTTAGTTTCATTTTGCTGTGCTTATAGATAATGATCTATGAATCTGTTTTACTATTTGTATTAACGTCTTATAGAACAAATATGAGTTTCGTATTGATTGACCCAATTTTACAGAAGTTGTGACCCATATGCCCGTATTCACACCTATGTCTTGGGTAAGCTAGGTTTAATTAGTAAGCCAGAGTCAGGTAAATTGAGTTGAAATCCCACTTGGGCTGATCTCACGTAATCCTCACCTCTGTTTCACACAGAAAATAAAACTGGTTTTACCTAAACTGCACTGAATCTGAGACAATAATGCAAATCACATTTTAATTTCAACCTAAGTATTACAATGATGTAACATACTTCAGCATGTCCATAATAAGTAGAACAGCATTTTTAGAGAAGTGCAAGATCATCGTATAAAAAGATCTAATCTATCGCAGATCATTTTTGGTCGTCCTTGATCTTTCCCCAATAAGATCCAACTTTTTCATCTAATCTTTCCAGTCCTCCAGTGTTAGAAGAACATTAAATCGACATTTAAACCTATCCTAGACCAGGTTTAGTCTTAGCTTAATTTGTGAGCTAAGCTCACTTCTGAGAAACAGGTGTGAAACAGATTTTAACAAGATGTGTTTGTGAAACACTGATGCCCCCGTATGGCATCTTATAACAAAGGTTAAACTTTCTCAAATGTTATGATCAAGGTTAAAATCTTTCAGAAGTTGGTCAAATTCCAAGGTCAAAGGGTCAAAGTTGGTATCCAAAGGAAGGTATTATCACAAGGATAGATATGTGAAGTATGAAAGCCCTTGCAACAATTATTCAAAAGTAATGGCCAAGGTAAAAGTTTTTCAGAAGCTGGTCAAACTCCAAGGTCAAAGAGTCAAAGTTGTTGGTATTCAAACTAAGGACTTGTCACAAGGATTACATATGTGAAGTATAAAGCCCTAACACTAATCGTTCAAAAGTTATGGCCAAGGTTAAAGTTTTTCAAAAGTAGGTCAAACTCCAAAGTCAAGGTCAAAGAATCAAAGTTGTAGGTATCAGAAGGAAGGTCTTGTCACAAGGATTACATATGTGAAGTATGAAAGCCCTAGCACTAACCGTACAAAAGTTATGGCCAAGGTTAAAGTTTTGCAAAAGTATGTCAAACTGAAAGGTCAAGGTCAACGGGTCAAAGTTTTAAAATCCAAAGGAAGGTCTTGTCAAAAGGTGTACACATGTAAAGTTTGAAAGCCCTAGCACCAACTATTCAAAAGTTATGGCCAAGGTTAAAGTCTGAAAAAATTAAGCAAAAGTGGGTCAAACTCCAAGGTCGAGGTCAAAAGGTCAAATTTTATGGTACACAAAGAGAGGTCTTGTAACAAGGAATACACGTGTGAAATATGAAAGCCATAGCTCCAATCAATCATAAGTTATGGGCAAGGTTAAAGTTTTTGCGGACAAACAAACAGACGGACGGACAGAGCAAAAACTATATGCCTCCGAATCTTCGATTACGGGGGCATAAAAATGTAAGCTGATCTTAGTGGTAAACCTGATTTAAACACAGGTGTAAATACGGGCATTAGACTATCAAAATTTCGAATTATTCACAGGTTTTGGGCTTTTTTATTATTATTTTTCTCGCGTAAGTGATCAACACTCAGCTTAAGTTTATTTGCTATAGACAGATAGTTAGTTGATTCCTGGAGACAAAAGCAGCAGTATAATGATTTTTATTATTTCCATCCATTTTTTTCACACTCTTGGACTTTCACATATTTAAAACTTGCATATCAGCGGGAGCATTCGTGTGCATATAATTATACAATTCACACTCCCTTAGCGAATTTACCGGTCTAGATGAAATCACAATATGAAAATGCTACATTGAGTTGTAATCTCGATTATCTTAAAGTTTCATTATCGTTGTATGGAGCAGCTGCCCTGGACAAAAAAGACCAAGAACGTTACCCTGGACTCCAAAACGACGATAAAACGAATGATAATATTTTCGACTACCTTTAATAAAAGTAGATAATATAATTGCCGAGCATAGTAGTTGGGGCACGTACTAAAATCTCCATTATTAATATCAATGTCGGAGTTTATTGGGAAGTGGAAAGTTGTTGCTGAGGAGAATCTAGACGAAATCTTTCAGGCATTTGGTTTGTATAAAACATTATGGTAAATATCGAAGTGTCGAAAGTTGCTCTTTTTTATTCTAGTAAAAATTAATATTTTATGCAAATTGTGTGCAAATTCAACATAAATTTATACAACACGTGCAGGAGTGGACGACGAAATGCGATCAAAGGCAAAGGAGGGTATAATCCAGCCAATTCAGGATATTAATATAATTGACGGCGAGTATTTCATAAAGACAACAATAGGCCATCTCTCCACGGAGGTCCGCTTCAAACTTGGCGTAACTTTCCCAAGTTCATCCATGGATGGCAAAAAAATCATGGTATTTTTTGGGGGGGGGGGAGAGAGAGAGAGAGTCTCGCCTATTGATTTTTTTGCACCTAAGCATGTGAATGCTCATTTTTGATATCATTGTGCTTAAAATAAGCAATGCAGACTTCCTTTTTATTTCAATATTTAGCACTATTGGCTTGATACAGACGCCGATTTGAAAACAATCTAGTTAATTGACTTCTTGAAATCACTTTCTTCGTAATATTTCTGTCTAAGCACGAAAAATTATGCCAGGAAATTTTGTATTCTTAAAACTTAGTGTTTCACTTTTAGGATCATCATTTCTGTACTTGTATAAAATATATATATATTCATATGTGTGATGTTTCGCAGCTGCCTAATTTGCGAAAACAGCAGAATTTTTTTTTTTTTTAGATATTTTTCTCTTTCAAAAATGTTGGTTACGCATTTCAGAAAATTTTCAATGGTATTTTCTGTTTTTTTTTAAAATTTTTATTTATCTACTTTTTTTTGGGGGGGGGGGTTATTTAGAACTAACTGACACCGACAGAGATACATGAGGCGCGAAAAACGTACTTGTATGACGGCAAAAATACAAAAGTCGGTACTTAATTTACTGATTATTATTGCCGATCCTCTAGATACAATCTGGAGTCGGCGTTGACAGTACAAAGTCCAGTATCTAGCTGACGATCTCGTCTCAAGCCAATTTATAACAATAGTAAAAGAAGCACTTTTAATGAGTAATTCTTGATATAAAAAACAAAGCTGATATTAATTGGATTATAATTATCAGATAAACTCAGGTTTAGGTTGCATCACGTGTCTTGTGGTCAAGGTTTATAACGTATCAATATTTGAGCACTGTAAAAAAAGAAATTACTGTCGCCCAAGTCTGTTTATACTTCAAACAAACTTGCATTGCTATGATCTTAATATACTTGAAATATGGAGATAACAAACAGTAATAAAGCTCAAAAGTCCATTGAAAAAATGCTTTTCATTGAATACAGTTGAACTTCGTATCTCGAACACTGATATCTCGAATACCATGGATATGTCGAAGTAATTAAGAAGTCCCAAACACTTATTCTGTAAGTATTTTACCACTGATATCTCGAGGTCCCAGAGTTCGAGATAAGGAGGTTTGACTGTAGTTTTCATCACTAATAAAGTTACGATACCTCTATGTTTTAGTATGTCAGTATTGTCACCATATTTGAATGAAAGACTGATAACATTTTTTCAATTACAGTGAAAACTGTCTAATCCAACACCTGTACAATTCGTTTCACTGTGGTTCCGACCTTTATTTTCATTCCCATTTTACTATTTTCCAAGTTCTTTACACTGCTATCCGACACCCTATCTATTCGGCACAATTTTTTTTCTCCCATAACATGTCGGATTAGACAGGTTTCACTGAAATATATAATCCAGTATCTAATTCAGAGGTCATATAGTGGCTGTAAACAGTACAACTTCAGAGACAATTAAACTAGATAATCTATATTCATTTAATTACAAATGGAAAATTAATAGAAACTATTTTGTAGGTAACATACAGAATGAATGGAAATGCACTGGAAGAAGTGCAACAATACGGTGATCACGAAGCGTTAATTTCCCGTGTTGTCAATGGCAAAGAACTTGTCTCGGTAAGAATTATATGTAGATTATCTTACCTTTAATTCAATTGGATTGATCAAAAAACTTTTACCTAAAAATTTTCATGACTGACACCGAAAACAGAAAGATGTTAAATTTCACCGAGGATTACATTACCTTGCAACGTGCATAATTTCGATTAAAAAACCATTGTTTTTTTCCGAGTTGTGTGGATTCAAGATTGTTCAAATTATGGACCTTTGGGTAAGAATTGGTATTAAGATTGGTCAACGAATGGCAATTCAGCGGATAAAACCTCATCAACCCTTTTTTCGCCTACGTGGAAAAACAAACGGACGCATTGACTTTCTAGAAAGACAAGCATTGAATGTCAGTAATATTCTGAAAGAGATACATGTGATCATGATCTTTTGTGATATTGTTGTATTGGCTAATACTGAACATTCACTACCCAGTCACATTGTTGACAACATTATTGGCAGACTCGTGAAGAAATCCTGTAACAGGAGAGGAGGAAATGCAGCGGACCAGACGATTCAAACCCGGTCCCTCTAAATTTCATGTGAGGTATAAAGTTAAAACTTTTACAGTTTATAAATATACATGTATCATTGATTAACAGATAGAAAGTATCACTTGAAAACAAATATTTAAAAAAAATATTTTTTGAGAAAAAAAAAAATTCAAAAAATTTACATATCTAAAAAAAAAATGCACCTGCTTAATTCTGTACTTTTAGTGAAAACCATCATTGCAGAAATAATATATGTTTATAAATGAAGGGCAAGTTGGACATGAATGGTCTCTGAAAGGCTGTTATTGAAAGCATGACAGGTATAAAGACAAGACAATGTAGGTTCGGTTTCAAATCTTAACATTTGGACAAAATAAATAGGGAAAACAACTTTCCAGAGGCTATCGAAGTCCAACTTGCCCTTCATCGATAAACATATATTGTTTCTGCAATGATGACTTTCACTAAAAGTACGGAATGAATTAGGTGTATTTTTTAAAAAATATATGCTTTTTTTAAAAAGAATTTTTCTCGATAATTATTTTTTTAAGTATTTGTTATCTATCAAGTGATACTTTCTATCTGTTAGTCAATGATATATTTACAAACCGTAAAAGTTTTACCTTTATAAAACACGTAGTATTGGAGCTGTTGTAAAAATAAATTTTTGGACATGTTGACCTTTGACAAAACCTTAATGTTCGGACGTCGCAAATGGCCAGTGAAAGGCTGAATACAGATTCTAACCTGCCACTGCACTCATGGTCGTTGAACAGTAAAGGATCTTTTTCGTGCCAGCAACTACTGCGACACGGGACCTTGATTAATTCAGTCATATCTGAAGCACTTGGCATGCCTTAAAAAGTTAAATTCTGCACTAAGCGCTTAAATTTTGATCACTATATAAAAAATCTTTTCATAAAGTTTGTCTGGCATCATGGCCCAGGAGTATTTATTTAAATAACTTTAATCTCTATATAAAGAATCTTCTACTATAAGAATCTTCTACTATAAGATTGTCACATCTGACATCTTGCAACCTTTTCCATTAGATACCGAGTATCTTAACCCCTACCCCCACCCCACCCCACCCCCACCCCCCACCCCCCAAATGAAACGTTGAGGAAACTTGAATCCTCCTTGCTCAAGAAAACGCATGGTAAAACTTGAATGAAGATTCACCCAGTGCTTTTGAAGAGGTTAATACTGTGAAGAGTTTGCAGAAAAAGACAAAATCGGATATCAAATAAACACGTTTTGCTTACATGCCCCCTACTTGTGACCGTCATATGTCGTACATTTGGAGTGTTAATAGAGAATTAATCAATGTCTTTTAACATTTTATTTTTTTTTCTTATAAAATTATATTAAATGACGTTGGGTTTCGGAAAAAAATCTTGATATATTTTTTTTGTCATTTTCAGACCATTACTGGAAAAGGAAAGAAGGCCATTATTCGTTATACAAGAGTATGATGTCATCTACAAAGCTCCGTTGCAAACCCACGAAATTCCAAGTTAAAGCTTAAATCCAAGAATCATCATTCTGTTTCACAGACACTTGCTTGGTTACCCACGATAATCATTTACAAATATTTATCTCGTCATAAAACGTTTTAAAACGTCCACAAATTCTACGATATTTCTTATTAGCCCATATTTTTAAAAAATATAATTTAAGGAAAAGTACAGTCGTACCCGAAGGGAAAGTGTAAATAAAGGAAACAAATTGAATGGATACACTGTTATTAAATCTTACTCATGGGCAATTACCAGGCAAAGTGTGTTCATGATTATAACAAACAACCAACATTCGGGCCTCGGGATTGGGCTTAATTGAGCATATGTTGAAAATCGTTTCTACTCATGGGCTTGTAGCAAGCAAGCATTTTATTATAAGCACTTAGCTCTCTACCAATTTTTTAATTAAAAAATCATGCCCAGATGTTTTGGTCCCAGGGTGAGACTTAGTTTACCATATATTGAGAACACATAACCTTTCTGAAAATCCCCTTCCAATATTTATTACCAATAAAAAGTCCAGCAAATTAACTGTTTTTGCATAGGTCTAACAATTTCAAAAATTTTACAGTCTTGTAAAGACGATAATCCTAATTTTTGTCACACGAGCCCCAGGGTTCAGTTTCAAGTGGGGCTAAAGCGATCGAAGCCTGAAAAACTAAAGAGTCAAGGCTCCTGGTGCAAAATTAAGTATGGGGAAAAATAGTTTCCTTATCATGGGCAATCAAACAAAGATGCAATTGTTGCTACACCAAATATTAAGCAATTGATGTTTTATACTAGTTCCACTTTCGCTTTACATTTAGGGTGAAATCACGTATTTTCATAAGGTCAAATTTTCGCGATCTGACGAAAAATAATGGTTGATGAGAATTTGAATTCGTGGTTCAGACATAAACAGGATAGTCTATTTTAATATTTACGTTCCTTGGGTCATGAATTCGCGATTTTTTTTATTCAATGAGACCAATAAAAATTAAACCACTATGAAAACTAGTAATTTTACAGTATTTTATTTGAAAAAAAAATTGGAATGGAATTTTTAGGAAAGGTGAAATGGAAACAAAAACAGGTGTCTATTGAATAGTCATTAGAATACAACAAACTGACACTTCCTGTTCTACATGTATAGAACTATCTTCTACTATATGCGGCTTTATTAATTTTAAAAATCAGTTTTTATCTTTCTTAAATCAAGTTCTTGTTTCCAATATATCCTTGTTTCCATATATCATGAACTGTCAACAACTCGAGTCGACTTGACGCACCTGAAACTGTGAAGTAGTTTTTAGATACAAACAGCATGGCGATCGGAACAGTTTCTTTGTTTTCTTTCTAAAGTCCCTATCCATCACAAAATAATTGATTGGGTGGACGGCACAGTTAGTGAAGGCAAACCAATGAGAGAACATCCAGTAGACTTGTAGGTACTCCTGGCTCATCAGCTGTTGGTTGTTGCTACCCACAACAGTAATAACATGGAGAGGAAGCCAGGAAAGGGCGTAAGATACAGCGACACAAATTAACACCTTCACCGTCTGAAAAATGAGAAAACGCTGCACTTAAAATTGTTTTCCAATACTATACGATTTTTGTCCCCCGCGAAAGCGCAGGGATATTAAATCCCATTTTGAATGAGAGAAGATAAGGCTTTAACATTTCAATTGTGCATTACCTGTGATATGACCTTTCAAAATGCACAATGATTTTTGACCTCTTTACCTTGAAGTCTGATATACTTTCAAAAATTTAAACTTTGGTAATGACTTTTGAATGAGAAAAGAAAGGCATTCTTATATTTCACATGACTTTTACGAGTGTACTTAAATATTTTTGTCCTCGTGATCTTGACTTATTTGAAGTTTGACGACATTCCAATATTGAAACATAAGATGTAGCTCTTGTCCCGGATTAGAATAGCTTTCATATTTTTACATGTGCATTATTTGTGAGTTAACCGAAATGTTTTCCGAATGTACAATGATTTTTGACATCCTTGACCTTGAAGTTTTACACACTTTTCAAAAACTTAAAATTTGCTCGTATCCTTTGCACCAGAATATACATGGCCTTCCTATTTTTTCACATGTGCAATACCTGTGACAAGACCATTCCGTATATACTATGGTTTTTTACTTCAAGACCTAGACCTTCAAAAATTTCATCTTGGTCGTAATTAGCACATTTATAGCACGATGAACAGAACAAAAGGTTGCAGTAACACCCCGAAAGCAGCTAGGGGACTACAATTCTCTGAATTTGCATAGTATCCTACAAAGAATACGAAATGTGTGAATTTCTTCTTCTTATTTTTTTTGTCGTCAGAGAATTCATTGGTAAGAAAAGTACTGAAGTAAAATGCATTACCCGTCTTTTTTCTAGGTCCATCTCTTTGATTCTTGTAGGATGGTTTTCTCCTGGTGGTTTGCGGATCCAGACAAGAAATCCAATATAAAAATTGGAGAAACATAATATAAGAAGTGGTATAATGTACTGAATTATCATTATTGCAATGGTGTAGTAGAGTCTTTTTTTACTGGAGTCCCAAATTTCCACACACATTCGCGATCGCATGTGAAATGCTATATCAAAGTATTGCACTTTAGAATATATTGCAACGGGCAATGCAACCAAGAAAGAAAAAAGCAATGATAGCAAATACGCAACTTTCCCTTGGAAAGTAAGTGTGACTTTTTGGGGTGATCGAAATATTACGTAATGTCTGAATACAGTAAGCAGCATCAGAGATTGGGAACGGTGGATAACTATCATTAGATGAAGATAGGTTGCAACTGGACATAAAAAATCAAAATAAGGCCAAGATTGGTAGAGATGCTCGCCTATAACTTTAAACGGAATAGAAATGATTACAAGTCCTAGGTCGTTAATTGCGAGACTGCTGATGAAAATATTTTTATTTCTCCAATTCTTCTTTGGTCTATAATGCCAAATCATGGCGGAATTTCCAGGAACTGCAATAGCCGTTGTGAGCATGTATAAGCCAAGGAGAATCCATTGCACCACTTGCCTTCCATTGGATGTGTGTCTATACGAGTCACTGATAACCATGTATGATATATTGAAATGGTCATATGTAAAATTAAAATCTAATATCCATGAATATTCTTCTATCTGTGTCATGTTGCTTTTAATGATTTGGTTGACATGGTTTAAAGTTCTTATACCCAGCTCCTTTTTATCTTATTATTAGTGCTTATTGATCTTTATCCAACAGCCAATAGAAATGGATGAAAAATGTAAGAAAATACATACTACATGTTTGGTTAAGCCTAACCACGCCCAGTAGTAAAACACTGCAAAAAAAAAAAAAAAAAAAAAAAAAAAAAAAAAAAAAAATGAAAATGAAATTAAAAAAAAAAGAATATCTCGATCTACTTATAGTATAAATTGCCAGAATAATTTTGTCAATAAAACATAAACAAGGGTACGTATTATATATCCTTCAGTAGTAGATAATGAATGAGAGAAATCAGAAAATATTTTCCGCTCGAAAATTAAACGAGATTCTGATCTATAATCCCACTTTCCCCCTAATCACCGTCCTTAAATTTCATGATCAGCACAGTTGCATATTCAGATTCCATTTCTTTTATAAGTTATAACCAACACTTACAAAATTACATAATGTTCTTTTAAAAAGCGTGAAAATTCGATTAATATATTTAGACCATGAAAAACATATTCAATTATCTATTATATAATTGGACGACAGTTTGCACTATCACCATCTATAATTTCCTTGTCTCTGTGTATTATCTTCGAGTACATCAATGATCATGTGTTCTTTAATTACAATGGTATTTTGATTTTAAGACTATTTAGTTTTTGTAAGCAAAAGTACAATGATGATTGAATGCAGGATAAATAACCTTTATGAATCTGTATTTCGCAAAAGGCAAAAATTATACAGTCCTTTGTTGGGGGGGGGGGGGGGTTATTGTTCAGTGTTATTTAAATTTCCGGAAAGGAGAATGGAAAATTTCGCCAATATCCTCTTGAACATTTGGGGAGGGGCATCGGGAGTAGATGTTCGAGCCATAAAGAGTTACTTGTAGGTAAATATAAATTTTACGGATAATTTGATTTACATGTTTGTAAATTAGGAATATTATCTATTTTTGTCTGTTAAAACGTATAAACGTTTGAACCACCGAACCAATTTTACCAAAGAGCTGCATACGTTGCCGTAGATAGTCATGATGTATATTTTCTTTGTTAAAATAAAGTATATCAGGAAGGACAGCTATACAAAACTGTTTATTTTTACTTTTTCAAAACCGTTTTCTTTCATTCCAACTTTTCCCTCTATTTGTCTATTTTTGTTTTGTTTTTGTTGTTTGTTTTTGTTTTGTCTTATTTTGTTTTATACCTATGATACTTTTTTTTCCAAAAAGAAATGTTGCAATATGGCAATTTTTAAAGTAATTTTTCAGAAACCGTTACATATTCGAACCATCCATCATGTTCCAAATGATTTACTTTTGGAAAAGACGTGTGTTGTCCTTTAACATTTAAAGTATAGTGCCACTCATAAATCGACTTTAAATCTGTGTAAAACATGAAGCCAAATTATATAGTTCGTGGTACTGTGGTAAATAGCATATGGTGGTTAAAACAGAAAAACCTTGTGAATTCTGTTGTCCCATCCTCACTCCCCGGGGCCTAAGTGGAGAGACCAAAACCATCAGATGTAAATCATGCCAGTCCACCTCTTAAAAGAGAACAGTCTGAGACCAGATAAGCTAATGCATTGGGATTGTGCCATTTCTAAACGTAAAAAAAACAAACATATTTCGTGGTGAGGTGGTGGGGTACACGTTTTCTAGGGGATGTGGGTGTCCAAAGTCTATTTTTTATTTGCTTCAGTATATACTTTTAATAACTCTGCAAATTCAAGGAGGGGGTCCGAACACCCCCGCCCCCTCTCTGATCCGTGCTTGGATGACTATAAAACTTTTTTCTGAAGATTTTCCCAAATGCTGTTTCTTTTGCAGTCTCCACTTGATTTCAGTTAAACTTGTTACACTAGTCTTGTATTCCTGATAATGTTGTCTATCAGATTTTGTTTTCAACCAATTGCTGTTCTTGGCATGGTTAGAAACAACACCACGTTGTGACCGGTCATCAGGGGTGCTTACCCCTCCATGGGGAGGGGTAATATATCCTCCATGGCACCTGATCCCGCCCCTGATGTTTTTAGAGGTACATGTTTGCTCTGCTCCCGATTTGTATTGTTTTGATGGACTTTTAAGCTTGATTACTATTCGTTATCTCCATATTTCACTAGACCTCGACCCTGAAAACGTACATTACTGTAATCTTTTCAGCAAGCTTGAAATGAAAGATACCACAGAGTGTGACACATCTGTTTCATTTTGGATATTTTACTAGAAAACAACGTTAATGGTAATCTAACAACAAAGTGATGACTTTGACTTTTCAATCGTCAACTTCCCTTATTTATGCAGCAATATACCCACATCACTTGCATATGGGGTGTTTATCTCTCAGTTGATTCGATACGCAAGAGCGTGATCTACGTACGAACAATTTCTAAAACGAGGTAAATTACTGACAAACAAGTTGATGAAACAAGAATATCAACAGTCTCGTTTAAAGTCATCATTTCGTACGTTCTGTGGTCGATACAATGACCTTGTCAGCAAATACAATCTATCGTTAAGTCAAATGTTGACTGACGGTTTTCGTACTTAGTCTAATTGTTAAGCCATTATTTACACACTGAATTGTCATCGGATTTTTTCTGTTATTTCCTAATCATGACAAGGAGCACGTGGCGGTTGTGACCGGTTGGCAGGGGATGCTCACTCCTCCATGACACCTGATCCCACCTCTGATGTTTTAGAGGTCCATGTTTGTCTGCTCCTGATTTGTATTGTTTGAATGAACTTTTGAGCTTTAATACTGTTCGTTATCGCCATATATTTTATTTTCAGAAGCTACTCCTCCAACAGTTTTGGTCTGAGTGAGATAGAAGTTGGGTACACATTTCCTAGATCCATAATTCTATATATAGTTTTTTAATTGCGATGAATGGTGTAGCCAAGAGCGTCTCATTTGTTAAAAATCTCAATGCACTAGTATTTATCGACTAAAAACTCTCAAAAACAAACATTGTAAGACTAAACTATAAAGCACAGATTTGTAAAGTGAAATTAACAGATCGGACATATAGTGTTAATGTCAAGAATGGAGGCGTACTAGTCGAGGGCAATCCCCTGCTCTGAAGAAAGACATTTCAGTTTTAATGTTCATGAAAAGATACATTTTTCAAAAATTGTTTTGTCAATATCATCTTTTTCAGATTTGCTTCCTGTATTTTATTGAATAGCTTATTGGTAAATTATTTTCACATATTTTTTAAGGGATGTCAACAGAAAAAAAATCTTCATACATGATTCGAACTCTCTCCAAAGCTCATTGTCAGGCGTAAGACTAAACGCGTTAACCAATTGTGTGTCAATGTGATTTAAATAAACGATTCCATTTTTGGAAACATTAAATAAATTTTACATATACTTTTCCGTCATTTAAACATTAATTTGGAATCGAGACTTGACCTCTTCATATTCAAAAATATTTTTTTATCACTCAAATAATCCCATTTTCCGCTAAATATAGTTAACTGGCAACTATATAAAGATGATTGATTGATTGATTGTATGTTGTTTAACGTCTCATTCGACAATTTTCCACTCATATAGAGACGTCACCATATACCGGTGAAGGGCTTCAAATTTTGACCTTTACTCGGCACTCAGGGCCATTGAGCAGTGAGGGATCTTCATCGTGCCAACGCCTGCCGTGACACGGGGCCTCGGTTTTTAATGTCTCATCCGAAGGACCCGCAACTTTCACTTCAAAGTGGCGAGCGCATGGCGAAGGAACAGTTGCTACCCATTTTTTATACGGACACACATTTCGGGTTTCCAATAGCAAAACAGAGACACCATTCTTTCTATAATATTGAGGGGTAACCATCTCTTATCCGCAACACCTCTTATGGGACTGAATAAAATTTAATAATTCTTTCACAGAATCCTTGTAACATAGTGGCATTGTGCACCTCCTATTTTATATTTTAATCGGGAACATGTTTGGGGGCTCCCATAGAAAACATGGACTTTGCCATTCTAGACATATGAGGCAGGGGGTATCATTTTGTGAGCTCAGTACTCACAGTTCTTCTTGTTTTAGACAAATATAACTTTTCCATGAACTTTGAAAATCGAGAAAAATATTGTTTCAGAGCGGGGAATTGTCCTCGCCTTGTACACCCTCTTTCTGTACATTTAGTAGTCACCCACAATACACATTGAGGGGAAGAGGACACATATTGTTAAAAATTCTACTTTGCCTCAGAATGTTTAGATTCGAAGGAGCTATGTATAAAGTTCACTTGATTTGCATCAAACTTGCAGCATTTGCTACTAAATGTGCGAAATTATGTCTTACACTTCTATATATACGTTTTAAAACCAGTATGTACATTTAGTGTGTCAACAGCTTCTACTTCCCTG